TGCCTATTTCTCGTTGTTCGCTTTGTGTTGCCGCAGTATTCGCCACAATACCTTTATTTTAATCGCTTCAATCGCCCTTATTCTTACGATATTTAAGTAAACATAAAATTATTAAAGGTGAAATTAGTCAAGAACGCAGAACTTATACTTAAACGATATCTGTATACGCAGAATACTACAGTGTTGCCACTATCTATTACCTTTCATAAACTTACCTTTTAAACTACAACTACTTATTTCTTAAACGTATTTTGAATAGGAAGTTATAACTTTTTTACCATCTGCAAAACAGACGAAGGCAATCATCTATAGAAGGAAGAAATCAGCTGAACGGAGGTTTACGTTCTTGACTAATTTCAGCTTCAGCCGGCTGGTCAAATTTGAACCGCCTTGGTCATGCCGCATGACTCAAGAATGATAGAATACAAGATTGCGCCAATCGAGCTGAGAGCAACTGCCCGTGACGTCAAAATATACCAGAATGAGAGAGCAAGACGAACTCGACAAGAAAAAGAAGAAGCATCGAACAAAAGGCAGTATTGCCAAGTTTTGAAATAGAAAAAGCACCAAATTTTTATTGGTGTATTTTATGGACTTTATATGATTACAAAATTTTGTTGTAAGGATGCCGATTCAAATTATTAAAAATCAATGTTTCTTGCACAACGGTCGATTTCTTCTGGCATGATTGAAGGAAGGTGCTGCACATATTTCGTTGTCGCTTATAATTGTCACTGTGCCATGATTTTGTTTAAATTTTTGTAAAAATGCTTAGCACACTTACGATTGCTATAAATTTTGCTTCCATTTTTTTAAGATTTTCTAATTTGAAGTCTTCAAACTAAAAACAAAACCACCAAGCACAAAACTCAAAAATTCTCGCGTTTTGAATACCCACTAAATTTGGTGCGAAAAGCAACAAGTTGGCAACAGTGAATGTAAACAAAGGTATATTATGACGTCAGCGATTGGGTGGATGCTGTCAAATCGACGAAGAGAGGGTTAGCGGTCCGCGAATGGCGCGACCTTTATTTTCTGGATCGTGCGCATGACTCATGTGGTTCAGTTCCCTCGCTAGCTCTCAATTTTTTCGGTGTGCAGTGAAAGCAACAACAATTCGTGGGATCATATCAGGGAAGCCAACTCTTGGGGAATTCCTCGATTTGCGGGTAATTTCAGTTTGCGTGGGGAATTTAAGCTCGCTCAATTCTAGTATAACAAAGTTTCAAATGTCTAAAAATTACCGTTGATTTTTTAGAATTTTCTTTGCATTTGCTTTCATATAGCGAATTAACATAATTTATTTTTATATGGAATAAAACAATGCAACAACTTAGGAAAAAATCCTAAAACGGAAATTTTTAGCCATTTGGAACTTGCACTTTATTATTCTAGAATTGAGTGGGCTACAAAACTACATACTCAAAATATTTATAGAAACTCCAAATAAAAAGCTCGTAATTTTTACGAAAGTTTGTTGCACAAAGTTTGAAACTTGGATTTATACGGATTATGTTAAATAATAATTTAATATTTATAAAAAAAACGACGCAAAATAACAAAAAAATAATAATAATTCGTGCGAGTAAATTTTTTCGACCACTGTATGTATGTAAATACTATCCACATAAACATTTTTTATTCTTTATTTGTTAACTACCTTTATAAAAGTTTGGTTTGGTTTATCAGTACATAGATCAATTACGTTTAAAAATAAAAAAAAGAAAGACCAGTAATATATTAAAATACATAATTTTTTATTTTTTTTTTTTTGTAAGTAAGGAGATATCTATGGGTGGGGAGTTTTACGAAATTTCTTACAAAATCGGGGCATTTCATTGTCGAAATCGGGAAATTCTCAAAAATGAGTTGGCTACCCTGGATCATATGATCGTCTGCGCAGTGTTGCCACAAAAAAATTACCAAATTCCTCAAAAACAAATGAAAAATCCTCAAAATCCGAAAAAATTACTAAAAATTTTCTTATTACAGATATGAGTCATGATACAATAATTTTTAGAAGGTGCTTTCACTTCTTCTTATCCGCCATGTTAGCTATCTGACAGAAAACGTGTTTCGTATTTTTTGTTGTACCAACATTTTCAAAAAAAAAAAAACCCAGCTTTTGACGTTGGAAAAATAAAACAAAGAAAAGCCAAACATATAAGTAGAGAAATTTTCGAACATTTTGTAATAATTTTCTTCATAAAAAATTAACTGCTGCTTTCGTGGATATTGCAACACACGGAATAGATGTAAGGACACAGCTATAAGCGCCACCGCACACCACAGACTTTATCGGCCGCCTATTTAAATGATAAGGCTCGCTTGAAATATGTACATGAAGATGTATGGAGGTGCGCACACTTCGCCAGCTTAATCGCTCTGACCAATAAGTTGTGGTGCAATGGAAAGACTAGCGAGCACATCTAAATTGGCGGCCGATAAAGTCCGTGGTGTGCGATGGATCTAATACATTATAAACAAGAAATATTTCCGTTATATTTTCATTTTTATGATTGTTATTTATGTGATTAGCAGTGGCAAAAATGTATGTATAAAATACGTATATTTATATTAAAAATTAAGTGATCAGTTATGAAACATATAAATCTTTACATCTTCTGTTAAAAAATATCTAAAATAACAAGCGATAATCCCCAAGTTCTATATCGTAGCAGTGGGACTCAAAGCGAATTGGAGATCAGCTGTTCCGCTCAAATTCCAAATAATCGCATCAGTATTTAAAAGCTGATTAATAATAATCGTTCTTTTTCTTTGCCACGATTTTATAATGCCGAATAAAACTAGATTTTTATCACTTTCCATTATGTTAACTTATAAAATGTCTAATGAAAACAGCTGATTTTGTTTGCTCTTGAAGACGGTTACTTTGATGCCGATATAAAGCCGTAAGTATAAACACTAGAGCGAAATGTGTACGGTGTCAATGCGCTTTCATTTAAGTCGATTATTCTGTGCGTATAAACGTAGTAACAGACACGGTTTATGCCAAAAATTTTGAAGTGAAACTACCTTCTAAAAATTATTGTATCATGGATATGAGTATTGTGTACTGTATACTATTTACAGGTACTTAGTATAAAAATTAGTTACGTTCTCCAATTCAATTGGTATATTTGTTCTTACGGTTCAAACAAAGTATCACTGTTATTTTTTATGCCTCAAGGGCCCCAATCTGGCCCTTAAGTCAGTCCTACACATTTTCAAACTACTAAATATACGTTCTACTGAAGCATTAGAAAAGGGCTATTATAGTAATGCAGATAAAATTTTTTTTATTGGGAAACTTATATGAACCTGAAGAATCTTTAAATTCAAAAACTTTTCCTATAATTTTCTGGATCTAATGAGGAACCAACAATGCGTGTTCTCTCCATTCGTTGCCGAGATTTTGCAAGTTCAAAATAAGTTTAAAATATAACGATGGAATGAAAAAAATTGTCGATAACATTTTGAATATTCAGCAGCAAATGCAGATGTGCTTAAAAGCGAAAAACGCGGACACAACGCGACACAACGGATTGACAAACCAAACGATATATCCCTTTGCTAAAAGCTATTAATGTTGTGTATGGGGCTGTTTGAAGGATAGACAAGCCGTTTGGGGGAAATGTGAACAAAAATAAAAATTTTTTGATTTTCTGGCCGCCATGTTGACGTTTGATCTAACCGCTTACGTTTTGTATGGTAAAATCACCTCATTCGCAACGGAATTTTTACCGAATGAGGACGCAAGAGAGAAAAGTCGAAGAAAACCAAAGTGAACCGAAAGAAATCTGAAATTCTTTGCTTGATCGAGTCATGTTTGCATGGTGTATAGCGAAATGGGAAAAGTAGGTTTGAAGAATGTTTGACAAGCCGCTTGTGTGGTGTACTTCGCTCTATATAAAACTTCGGAAAGCTTTTTGTTTAAAAAATTGCAGAGCGATTTAACAACTCTGTTGTGTAACACATGGCTGCATTTGTTATCTGCAAATATATCGAGAGAAAATTCTCCAAAATAAAAATCATCAATAAATACTCAAGCGCACCTGAAATTCCTCACGTTTTGAGGAATTACTCACGAAGTGGTCACACGTGGCCCCATACAAGTTGCATGTGCATGAGATATTTTTGGCAATAAATTGGCGGCGTGCGTGAATATTAGGTTAGTCTGTTGGCCAGTAAATTAACATACTAATGTCAGATATATTAATATTTCATATCAATAATTGCATGAAAAACGATATTTCCTGCCCGCATTTGATTAAAAACGAAAAATGTTTCACATAATTTTATTTATTTGCAACAGCTGGCGAGCGACGCACGCGAAAAGTTGAGAGTTGCCAGCTTTCTGCTTTGTGTTGGCGTTAGAGTTGCCGAATTTCGGCTATGTTGACGGCTGCATTTGAATTCATGTATTCATAGTCAACTGTTGAAGTGACACCAACGCCAACGCAACGCCAAAGTTATATGTGGACGGGCCTTAAATGAACAGCTGTAAAGGTTCAGTTATGCATACTTGGCATTGCATGAGAGTTTGCGTGTAAGCGGTTACCCAACGCACATTGATTTCTGATTTCTACATTAAATGACATGCTATGCAGTGCAGTGCAAAGTATGCATAACTGAGCCTAAAATTTGCTGGAGTGAAATCACTCACAGTAAAGGCCCGTCCACATAGAACTTTGGCGTTGCGTTGGCGTTGGCGTCGCTTCAACAGCTGACTATGAATACATGAATTCAAATGCAGCCGTCCACATAGCCAAAATTCGACAACGCTCAAGCCAACACAAAGCAAAAAGATGGCCAACTCTCAACTTTTCGCGTGCGTCGCTCGTCAGCTGTTTCAAATAAATAAAATTATGGGAAATATTTTTCCTTTTTGATGAAGTGCGGGCAATAAATATCGTTTTTAATGCAATTATTGATATGAAATTTTAATTTATCTGTCGTTACTATGTTAATTTAGTGTCCCAAGCATTCGCTGGCAAGCGTTCATGTAGCAAGCATACTTTTAACGTGCGTTCTGTCAAACCAACGCCAACGCCAAAGCCAACGCGAAAGTTCTATGTGGACCCATGAACCAAAAAGACAAGATCACGCGGGCAGGAGAGTAGCCCGTTAGAATCGCATTTAGGAAACAAGTTTAACGATTTTGACTTTAGCCGTTTGTTTACATTTCTTCGTTGTTCACAATTTGGTGGTAGCTTTTTACTGCAATTTTCTACATTTTCGCCTGTGACAACGTGTGTACACATAAGATAAAGAATAATTTAACACAACGACATGATTTATAAAAGAATTTTCATAATGAAAATGATTATTCATGTGTTCAACAATTTCGCGGTTTTCTCCGTTCTCTTCGTTGTTTACTTCTTACAACAAAGATGGCGTCGAGATTTCGGCAGCTAGAAAATAACTTTTTTCTTTCTTTCCTTCCCGCGTGATCTTGTGTCTTTCGTTCATGATGTGGACCGGCCTTAAACACAATTGCGGCGCACGACGGCTGTCGTCAGATGTCATTTTGATTTGAAAATTATCTTTAAAATGAAATATTTTTTCGGTAGTGCCTTTATGTACATTTGTTGGAAATAAAAACGGATGAAAACATTGAAAAACTTGTGAAAATAATAAAAATTACTACAATCAACACTCAATCAAGATTGTGGCGAACGGGTGGTAAAAATAGAAATAAATTTAAATCGACCGAAAAACGTGTGCGATGAAAGCGCTGCCGCAGTAATTATGCAGACCCGTCCACATACAACTTTGGCGTTGCATTGGCGCTGGCGTCGCTTTGACAGCTGCGCGAGTAACGCCCGTGCTTGCTACAATGAACGGTTAGCAACGAATACTTTGGCCACTAAATTAACATACTAGCGGCAGATAACTGAAAATTTTATATCAATAATTGCATTACAAACTATATTTCTTGCCAGCAAGAAAATACAATTTTTTCTAGAGAATTTCCTTTCCTTGAAAAATAAAATATGGCAACACTGTTCACCAATGAAACACGAAAAAGCGCAACAACAAACAGCGAAAGTCAATTTAGTGGCTTGAATAAATCGAATGCGGAAAGGTGGTGATGACGGTTGAAATTTAGGATTGCTAGGAAAAGTGATAACATTGTGGTCGAAAAAAAAAATTTAATTACATATGCAAATTGAACTATATGTATGTATGTATATATGTATAAACAATAAATCCCGAAATTCGTGCACTATTTAAAGAAGGGCTAATCAAGACTAGTTTGTAGCCGCTACAACAACAACAACAAGACTAGATTTTTATATGGGAGCAGATTACTTTAGCGAGGAATTTATCTACACATCCTTCAGGCAGCTGGAGTAGTTTTTGTCGTTGCGTGAGCATTGTAAAAACGTCAAAGATGATCAGCCAGGAGTAATGCAAACGATGTGCTAATTGTTTACAAGCGTGTAATTTTGGTTGTAAAGCGCAGAAAGTATGCTTATACACAAAAGTTAATGCAAGTAAATAACAACGAGAGTTTGTGTTTTAAGTGCAGATGCATGTATATATGTATGTGTGTGTATATTGGTAAACAGTACAATTTCTGCATGCAGTCGCTTTGAGAATAATTGCTGCATTACAAAATCAGCTGAGGAAAAAAAGCATACAAACAAGAATATCTAACGCTGTGGCCCCATTTAAATTGGTAAAAAATGCCTTTTCTGGTCTTGTAAATACATATCTCGCTGGCTTACAGTGAAAAGTTGCTGATTCCACTTTTTATTGAAAACTCGTATTTTGATACAGGAGGCTAGACTTCTACTAGACTACTTCGGGCTATTCCCTCCAAAGGGGGGACCCTCCAAAAAAATTCCAATTCTTCACGCTTGTAATCAAGGGTGTACACATTATTTTAACACCTACTTTTATAATTTTAGGCCACTAATTTATTTATAAAATTCGGATTGAAATATGCCCTTTTCTCCTTAAAGTAGCCACTTCATCAATACACTTTTATATTCGCTTTCAATTTACACTTTATTCTATTAGTTATAACTTTTGTTATTCCTTTTATTTCAATCAATTAAAAACACCATGAAAATCACGCTTGTGACTTTGGTTGCATATTCAAATTAAATGGCGGAGTTCAGCTGTGATACTCCAAAATATGCAAGAAGGGTGAGAGACAAAAGAAAATAAGATATAACCCAGTAAGCATTAAAAATTTAACCTTTTTATGGAAAATATATATTCACTGTCCCTGTGGCTCCTTTGAGGTGTTGGGCATGGTAATATTTCTAAGTATAACGGTGCATTTAATTTTTTACGCGAAATTTATACGAATTACTTGGTTTCTGAATTCTACTTAGTGAGGGTTATAATCCCTAAGTACGGCCGAAGGCCGCCTACGCAGAAAAGTGTTCTCTGCAAAATGTGTTCAGCCCCCTTCTTCGGCAACACAGAAAGAAGAATTCTACTTAGTGAGGATTATAATCCCTAAGTGCGGCCGAAGAACTCCTACACAGAAAGGTGTTCAGCCCCCCTTCTTCGGCAACACAGAAAGGAGAATTCTACTTAGTGAGGGTTCTCTGCAAATGTCGCCCTATAACCAACTTGGGATAATTCCTTTTATTAAAAAATCCCATGGTTTCTGTTAGTTGGGTTATATTCACCGTCAAACTGCTCAGTTTGCCTCGGTAAACTCCGCTTTTCCGCCATTTTCAAACGCGTCCCTAGGGGTCGGTTTTTTAAAGTGGGGACTGCCCTCTTTATAATGGGAGGGGTTTAGGGGGCCTATACAAAGTTTTTTCCTCTCTTGTAAAATTTTTAAATTGGGACTTAGCAACTTTTCACTCTAACCTAGCGATAGACATACCTATGTAAGATATTTGCATGATTCAACAATAAGCATTTAGCTGCTGCTGCTCAGTGAAAAGAAAGTGAATTTTTAATTTTTTTTTTTAACTTGCTTCTGTCGTTGTGCACGAATTGTGACAAAAGAAAAAAAGCGAAATAAAGGCTGCCGTGAAGAGCAAAACAAAAGTCATCAAATATAAAAGCAACGTCAGGGCCGTCTCGTGCAGTACAAATGCATAGGCCACGGCAGGCGCGGCGCTGAAGTGAATTGTGCCCATCAACAAACTTGTATTTCAAAGCGAGTGTGTATACGCCAGCGAAGTCGGCGAATGTGTTTTACATATACATACAAGTGTTTGTTTTTGACAACTTTGCGCAAAATCTGAGTGCAATTAAAAAATTGACATGCTTTCGTTCTATAAATAACACCAATTGATAGTAGGAATATCATATTAAATAGCCGCGAAATTTATGGAATGCAATCCAACGCACTTACGAAATTTTGCTCCACTTTATGTACATATGTATGTACTTACATACATGCGTATTTGCTCAACGAAGTATCAAGTCCTCAACATCGAATGCACTCCTCGCATTGAAGTAAACAATCAAGTAAAATGAATGCAACCGTAAACCGCAACGCAGTTCCATCAAGCGATCGGCTGCAGTTGTCATTCTATCAAAAGAACAACAATAATAAGCCCACATACTACTACTTCCCCCAAGTAGCCAAACACAAGGCATACGCAATGCGGTCACGAATTGACGGCGAGAACGAAAGTCATGATATAGAAGAAGAGAAAGCTACAGATCTAAGGCGCGTCGAGGACCCCCACACAACTAATAGCGCGCCAACTCGTGCGGCTGCACTTTTCTTCGATGAACACAGTATACTGCTGGAAAACACTTCCCGAATAGGCGCTATCTCATTTCCACTAAACTCGTTGCATAAAAGTAACAGCTACAGCGGTGTCATGCGTCCTAAAGCGACTGTGCTTAGGCAGGATAGCCTGAATGGCCGCATCGCCACTAGCCTTACGGACGATGGGATAACGAGTAGCACTTACAAAAGCGCACTTTATACGGCTGCGTCATCCAACAATGATCTAGTATCCAACACGCTCAACAACTACGATGATGATGCTGTCGTTGATTTTCATGATGAACATGATCTACTAATGCCGTCAGCAACTAATGCTGCTGGCAGTGCCGGTGTCGGTGGTAGCAATGGCAATGCATCCAGCTTACGTCGTAATACACGTGGCGCGATCAAAGCGCGCAATACGGCTTGCAATCGCTTAAGTCACAACCGTAAATGTTTATTTGGGCTAGCTTTGTTGCTGCTTGCTATTACGGCGTTTATGTTTTTCGCTTATCTAACGCGCGACTATACAAAGCAATTTTTACTGTGGATCGAAATGCAAAATCCATGGATTATAGTGGCTATACTGATAGCTTTATTTGTGGTGGTTAGCTTTCCGATAGTGGTGGGATATTTCTTGCTAATGCTCACTTCTGGCTACTTGTTCGGCGCTTTGAAAGGCGTACTTATTGTCGTGGTTGGTGCGAATTTAGGGGTCGCCGTCGCTCATTGGACAATACGGAGTTTTCGCCATCGTATACCAATTCATAAGTGAGTATTAATAGCCAACAGTTAATTCAGTTACTTATCTACTATAATAAGTTTTCTAAAGCCCTTTAACCATACTCGACATGCGTTATCGCTCTTGCCCATACATATGTACTTAAGCATGTCCTTAAGTATGTTGTAAATACATAATATTGTAATAGCTCTTTATGTAAGTATATAATTTATCTAAAAGATCAAGTGAACATGGTATCATGGCGTGCGTGATGTGGTAGATGGTTGCCTTTACTGCCATCGTGGCCTTTAATCATAACCATTCCTTGGTTTATATCAGCAACATCCCAACAAGGAATTTTAATGCCTTTATTACTAAAAAACTAATGAATAATACATGTATTAGTTTATTTGTGTGAACATATATATCCATACAAGCATGTATCGATGTAAGTTACTGAATAGTTTATTAGCTCGCGTAATAAGTGGTCTACGTGTATACATAGGTATTTCAGCGGCTAAGAATAAATGAATTAAAAAGAAAAAATCTATTAAAAGCATGCAGGTGGAAAGGATTTGTAACGTGCTATTCATCGATGGAGGGAACGATTCGAGTTAATACACCGATAAGGGCTGTCGTATTAGCAATATTTCCCAGCAATAATGAAATAAAAGCTAAGATGTATTGTGGAACGATTTTCCGTCAACCCTTGTCAAATTTGGTTTGGAGTCAAATTTGGTTGTGCCATCTTTAGTGTAATTTTTCGTTCGAGAACGATACTGAAGATGGCACAGCGCCGAAACCGATCTGTCTCCAAACTAGGGATGTTCCGATATAAGTAAATGCGAGTATGTACTCGATACCTTTGTTTCATACCTTTGTTGTATCGAATCGATTTGAAGAAGTGCCATACCTTTCGGTCATAATTTTTCTATGAAAAATAATTGCTTCGTTTTTATGAAAAATAATTGCTTTAAGCAATGGCACCGCCAAAATATAAAGTGGGGATATATTTTTACAAAGTGCAAGCAATGCTTTGTAGCCGTAACGTTTTGTGGGAACCTTTAAAAGGTTTAATTTTTTGTCTTAGTAATCGTATTACTTCTATTGTTACTAATGATCAAATAAACATATCGATATCTCAACTGAAAATATATTGAAAATATTTAAGATAGGGCGTTTTGAATCGTCAGCTGAGATAGAGCGTTTTTGTTCCGAATTCTGAAAGAGGGTTGTCTTGAAAAGTTTTCTGATATAAGGCGTTTTTCAATCAAACTCTGGAATAGGGTGCTTTTGAAAAGTTTTCTCAGATAGGGTGTTTTCAAACTGGCTGCCGAGATAGGTCGATCTACCACTCAGGTGTCGCAAAAGGTATGTCACAGATAACGCCTGAAAATTACTTTCGCTTTGTTGCATATAAAAGGATGAAAAGTTATCGATATAAGTAGGTATCGATACATTCGGTTCACTCATATAAGTAGTATCGAAATAGCGGTTTAAATAGACTCATTTAAGTAGGTATCGATACTTTGATGGTATCAGAACGTCCCTACTCCAAACCAAATTTGACTAGGGATGACGAAAAATCGTTTCATAATACATCACGCCCCTACCCTGTCGGAAACACAAAAAAAAAAATAATAATAATAATAGAAACTAACGGAGGAATAGATGACCTAACGTACCTCCTATCTTCTTTGTAAAGAGTTTGTAAATGTCGTATAACACCAGACCCGCGATTTTGGTCTTATTCCACTAAAGCAAGACATTTTTTGTCATTCTTAACTTTAAACACTTTGTAAAATCGCCTACTGCAATATACTGCTGGAAACCATTTTTTGCTCAGACATATTTACGATGCACAAATGTCGCGCTATACCACTCCATTTTCATGTATGCATGTAACTTGTTTCGTGTGCAATAAGTGTCACAGCTACCCTTCCCTCCCCTTTTACTATGCACCGATTAACGAACCACGCACACAACTTGTTTACCATAATCATTTGTCTACCGAACAGCTTTATTGTTATGTCTGTATATCAATTGCAATCAACAAGAAATTAAATGAAATAAATAACGTTCACTCTCATACATACTGACAAACGCATAAAGACATGTGTACCTGATGGTCAATTCTTACCCAAACACACATCATGTGCACCCATGAAATTGACCATCCCTATTGTGCTAGCGAATGGATGATATAATATTCATAGATTTTCCTTATTGTAGAAATTATCAATTATTCTATTTAGACTATTCTAATTTATTTTGCTACTCACTTCAGGTCAAGTGCTTGAATTAACTAGTGGCCTAGTTACAAACGAAGCGATTGCATACCTCGCTCAATAAGCTCTTGTTTGAACTAGTCACCGGCGCATCTAAATAAATGTGTAAAATAGAGTCCGACCGATTAATCGGCCGATGGCGAGACTAGTATCGGCCAAAAAAATCGGAATCGACCGTTTTTCCACGATTCTTGAATGAGGTATTGTTATTTAGTTATCTCATTATGTTTTTCTTTTGTTATTGTACAAATTTATAAAACCATTTGTTCTTAAATGAAATTATATTCAGGATTTAGTCGGCAAAGAATCGGCCGATTTAATCCTGAATTAAATTCATTCCAAGAACAAATGCTTTTTTAAATTTGTACAAAACACACAAAAAAACATAATAAAATAACTAAATAACAATACTTCATTCAAGAATCGGCCGATTCTTTTGGCCTATACTAGCCCCGGTATAGTATCGGTCGGGCTCTAGTGTAAAATTATGTAAAGCCAAAATAGTTCAGTAACCTCTGTTATATCGCATACTGCAGCCGATTACGCTATCGTGGCCGTTCACATAACAAAACAAATACACAGTTTATTAAGGTAGAATGTATCAAACCGGCTACTCAATGGAACGTGTATTCTATTTGGCAACTGATGGTAGCCAGAATTTAAGGCGTCCCATAAAAATGATTTATTAAAATATCGTTTCTTGCAATCTAAGCTCTTCTAAATGGGTATTATTTCTAATAAATTAACTTTAAAGCTCTTTATACCCAGGCAGGTAATACGCCTATGTTTCATTTTATTATCAGCAGCGGCTTCCCTTTATGGTGCTCGTTTGTCTTCATTTATAAACATATATATAGATTTATTTAACCAATATTTTTCATTTAAGAATTAGCTGGCTGGTATCAGCTCCTCTACGTTTGATAAAGCGGTTATACTGATACATAGCCTACTAGGCTCATTTTTAAGCGCACAGTAAAGTGTTGCTGGGTTTTTTGTCGGTAAAATTTGTATCATTCTGTTGTAAACTTGATAAGAATAAAAACGAATTTGTAAAATTCTCAAACTACTATCTACCTACCACTAGCATTTTAGGGTTATCTATTATCATAGTGAATGCAATATTGTCAGCACTTTGTTATCATCTCGATAACCACTGAATTAATCATGTTGAACACTCCTAGCGTATATCCCCAATGCAAATTTCGTGCGATTGCTTTTGTTTTAAGCAGTACCTAGACCATCCTAGTTTGTTAATAGAATACATTCAGGCAATACAAGCATTTCACCGAACAGAACAATAAATGGCGTAACCAAACTAAAATCAATAATTTTGTTTGTCAAAGAGCGTTATTTAAAAGAGGATAACTATCCCAATTTTCTGACTGATAGCTTGGTTCTGATAGTCGTTTGAAACAAGCCCATTCCGTGAATAAGCTGTTTCCAATAAACCAATGTTCGTAGCATATAACTGTAGGTGCTCCCTTCTAAAAAAAAAGGGAACAGCTCTGCTTAAATTTCCCTAGGACATATCGTCATTCTGCAAAATCGCGTAACTGACATTTGCAGCCAAAAATTTTGTTTGCTCACACAAGCTCTTGGCTCAATCCTTATTCATTCGTCCTGAAATATATTAGCCAGAAATGCGATTGCTTTTTAAAAAAGAAAATCATTTTGAAATATGAGTGTTTTTACCCTCTAGAAAATAATTTATGCAACCTCACATACGCTGGTTTGTATTATCGTGATACGCGGTTTTGTACTTTAAACGACGATATATGTATGTATGTACATATATATGCTAACTAAAGCTTCAATTTATGGTTTTATGTTTTAAATTCTCAAACTAATTATACGCAAGGTGACAAGAATATTTTAACATTCCAGGAGGACAAATTCTCGATATTGAAAACACAAAAATTTTTTTATTTATTTATTTTAACACATAAATAACGAATAAGTTTGCAATTTAAAGCTTCTTTAAACACAAGTCAAACAAGTTAATAGTACACTGCGTTGCATAATTATAAGGCCGC